TAAACTTAAAATGAATAAAACTGTTGAAAAAAACATCCATATGATAAAAAAACGTTCAAAAATTGCATCACCAGAAACGAATGTTATACAAATTTTAAATGTAAATAAGCCCAAAAGATCATTATGCCATAGAAACATTTTGTTTAGATTTTATCTGTCATACAACTTGAAGGTTCTTAGATACAAATATATCTGTCGTAAGAATTAAAACTAATAATAAGTAAAGTTTTTTCAAGATGATGTTCATTTATATTCACATGCCATAATTACGAACACACACAAAAACATATTGACTTCATTTACATAATGTTAGGAACAACATTCACTTTTTATTACGGATATTTACCTCCAGAATCTATGAAAAGTAAAACATTCCCCACTTAAATTTACGGGCGCCACTCTCTTTTCCGCATTTCACGAAGAGAAAGGTATCGAAACCAACAATCCCTGAAAACAACAACAACAACAAAATAAAAAACAACAAAACAACAACAAATTAGTCTGCTATTTTTAATATGAGTAACGTTCAATGAGTCAGAATATTATAGGGTGTGTGTTTGATTGGTTAAAATGTGATCATTGCGAAGGCTACTGTCTTTATTCGGATCCTTATTGCCAGGCAATTGGTTATATAGGCAAACAATCGTTTATATAAGGCAATATAAATTTCTACCTGTCTTATAATCTTTATAAATTAGTTTTAAACATTTTTAACAGCAGCCTTATATATTATAAGTTTTAAAAGATGTTGACAGGTTATTTCTGACCCATTAAAAAACGGGTTGTTGAGCCGCTAGGCCAGGTTAATATTGCAAAACAACTGTTTATATAACGGCCATATAAATCTGTCGGGAATATTTATAACGAATATATAATACTGCAATTAAAAAAGGCTGCATTTTTAACTGATGGTTTAAAAGCAAATGTAAAATAGAGAAAATAAAAATCCCTAAAGAGAGCAAAAACGGCAAAATTCAAAATTTTGCAGGCTCGGTTTTGATAGAGCCTGTTCATGGACGATACTGTCAATAAGCAAACTACGCGTCCCTGTCAAGGCTTAAGCGGAATTCAACATTTAAACATGGAATTGTAAATGTTTGAATTTAGAAACATCCGCAGATGTGTTTATACGGTGATTCTCATGGAACTTCAATGTGAAACTTCCTTGTCAGTCAATGAAAAGCGGCGTATAGTCCCCAAAAATAGAAAAGCGTGTGCTCTAAACGAGAAAACAATAGGTGGAACTAAACAAAATGAAATTTTGAAAGGGGAATAAGAGGTTATGAAGCCTGCATACCATTTCGATAAGAGTAAAAGACCAAAGTTAAAAATTAGGTAGCCATATCCTAATGGGAATGATTCTAACGTTATTCAAGTAGGAATATTGGGAACACGAACTAGATAATTAAGCCAAAAAGTGAAAATTAAAATACCACAGAACGAAACACTGTAAACGGACTGCTAGGCGAGGTTATATTGCAAACAACGTTTTCCACTAACGCCAATTACCTGCATGAATCCTTTATACGAATTTGTTATGCAGCAGACTTTTTATTAGAGAATAGTAATAAAGATTGATATATTTTAGAAAGTTGGGAAGACAACCGTATATTTACATGTATCGTTAAATTATAAAAAATTTTAGACAGGTTTATATGGCCCTATATAAACGGTTTGTATGTTAATAAAACGTATTAACAGCGAGGAATATATCATGTCAGAAATGATGTATTAAAATTAATAAATAACAAAAAGTTTATTATTTAGGAGAAAAAGTGAGAGTTTCTTCATAAATAGGTCCCAGTCGTGAGTATCAAATTTTATATAAAAGTACGATTACCAATAAAAAAACGACTTATAACGGGTATTTAAATACTTATTTACTTCGGTGAACGATTTTTCCATTGAAAGGACGTTACAAAAAGGATGCGTATTTGAACGGTGTTCAAATAGTTTGATTATTGTTGTGAATTATAATCCACGTTTTTCTTACAGTTTATTATTCTTTCTTTGTGTGTTATCTTTAAAGAGGTAAAGGGGTTTACCTGAGAAGAAAACGTTAAAGAAACGGGAGCATTAGAAATGGCCTGGAAAATGTGAATCCTTTAATCATTTGGGGTAGAAATGTGGCGCATTGTTGAAATTTTTGGTAGATCAGAGATATAATGTTTCATTAAATGAAGGTGCATTAATGCAAACTAAATTAAATTAATCATATTGTCAAATTTAATATTTTAATTAATGGCTGATTTTTTTGTATTATTAATTTAAGATTGAACCATATTTTCTGATAGGTTTAAAGGTTGCAAAAATTGTTCTGAATGGGTCAACCCTAATGGACATTACGAAGTGATCAAGAGTTTTCCAGTTTGGGATATTGGTTCTTGCCGCTTCAAAAAACCGTGTGAAAATTTAAAGTCAAATAATTATATATATAATAACTATTAAAATCTTTGTAAAAATCATTTTTGTAATTTGGTTTTTCATTTTAACATATTCCATATATAAAGAAATGTATGCGCCTGTCAAACACAAAAATCCCTTTGCTGAGAAATTAATTGAATATTTTTAAAACAGAACAGACATTTTAAAAAAATTTTACAAAAAATTTATAATTTCCCAGGGAAAGAAAGTAAATTTTTTTGCGCAAAGGGTTGTTCTTGGGGAAAAAATACTTTTTCAGTATTCAAAAATTCAAAAAACAAATTTTAAAGTAAAAAATTATCAAACCCTTTGTTTTTAAAAGTTTTTTTGATGTAATCCGAAAATTTTTGGGTAAATTTAAAAATTAAAATTTTTGGCATTTTATCATTTTTCTTTAAATTTAAAGGTCTTTTTAAAAAAATGAAAAAGCGTCCAAATTAAAGGGAAAACAAAAAGGGGAAAATATGTCCTAAAATGAACCCTGTCATGCTCAGAAACCGTAAAACCCTTTAACTTGTCAATGGGTTTCCCGATGGTTGGGCCGTGGGTAAAAAAATTTTGGGGGCCCTTTGAGTACAGAGAAGAAATAGAGGCTCCCATTTTTTCCCGTAAAAAAAGAAAAGATAGGTTTTAAATTTGTGAATATTTCTAAAAAAAAAAGGAGGTTGGGGCGTAGTTGTGCCAACTTGAATAATGCCTTCAAAATTGTTTTCTGAGCTATATAATCGGTACAAGAACAGGTTCAATTGATCGTTTTAGTACTTTTAGTTTCAAGACGACTGAAAACGTTTCCTGTTGTTTATAAATTTGAATATAGATTAACATTTTCTGGGGAATGTCAGTTTATTTTAAGATTTTAAAGTTTATGAATAGGAATTTGGGTTCGAAACTATTCGGAAACTTGTTCAGTATATAATGGTCTCCCGTCTTTAATACGTACAACTTGTAATAAGTAGTCAGGGAAGTAAAGATTATTTTTTGAAAAATTACTGACACAGTATTGTTGCCATTTACCAAATTGTCAAAGTTTTTAAAGATTTAGAATGTTCACCTAATTTTCCCTAATTTTCCTTGTATTAAATTTTTTCATTTATTTATTTTTCCCTTACCGTATGCTATTTTTCACTGTCTTGGATCCCGGCTTTTAGTAATGTGTTTTGCCGTGGTAGATATTTTCATCTTTCTGGAATTTTGGTTAACCTTTTGTCAGCGGATAGCGGTGTTGATTCGGACGTTCTTGACGTTTGTTTCCATGGTTCATGTTGTGACTCATTAAAGGCACGAGTTCGGTCCCATTATTTCTAACAATATTTGATTTTCCTTTTGGTCAAGTAAATGATTTTTAATATGTTTAGAAGCTTAATAATTTGTTACTTTATAATTTAAATCCAACCTAGTTTAACCATCGGACCTATTCTAAAATCCACTTGGGGTAGTCTCTTCTGGAAAATTCCTTTGTAACTCGAACATTCAGGTATAATTGGGTTTACTTTCTAAGTGTAAAATTAGTAATTTTTATTTATTAACGAGATATTTGAAATCGTCATAATTTGACGTGATATTTCTCAAGTTTATTATAAAAATCTAGACTAAATCACTCTAGTATAAACAAATAACTAGAATAAGCAAACTCGACACTTTATCCATCAATGTCAATAATATATTAAAATGTCATGGCGGGAAAATACTATCTTGATAATCTTTTGTATTGGTTTATTGGTTTTTATGTCCAAATCACGAGAAGTCACATAGTACACTCTGTCTTTTTCGTATATCTGAGAGTCATAAATGCAAACCGTTGACTCAAAATTTGATGCAGTCAACTGTGTACATATAAATTACAACTGCTTTGTTAAGACAATAAAGAGTAAACTGTAAAAAAATGAATTAATGCAATATATAATTGTTATACTATTAGTTTGTATTCGGACTCTCTGCTCGCCATATAATGATTTAGGAAGATATCGTAGGCTGTTGCAAGAACGATAACTGCCGCAAACAGGGAACATATCACGCTGAAGAAAAAACAATACAACAATATCACATGGTATATGCGTTAATGCTTACCTTATATTTAACACAAAATCTCCGAAAGGCAAACATCACATTTTATTGCAATGACATGACTTTGTTTGTTGTGCAATTTCCTTTTAGTTTTAGAATTATGTAAAATATTACTTAAAATATCAAACGACTCAGCAAAAATGGCGATTTTCTTCACGTCTGACATGTTTTGGAAATCATTTATAATAAGCCATTGTTTTCGAATGACAGTTTATGTACAAAGTTTATAAGTGGGAAATGGTCTTTTCGGCTAGCTACAGATGTGTGAATTCAACATTTTTAAATTAATAAATGAAAATGTGAAAAAATCATAGCAAATGCTAGAATGTGTCTATTTTATTATTTATACACAGCAGTTGTATTCAATATACTTATATATCTGTCATAGAAACAACGACAGGCAAATTTATACAAGGAAGAATCAGCACAACGTCAAAATAGTCTGATGTCATTTATACATTAAAAACAGAGTTTTACATTTCGTCATTTTTTTCACACCAAAATTTAAATGATATTAAGATTCACTTCTTACATGATTGCGATAGCTTTTCCACTATACTCCAGAGACTTTTCTTGACACGTGACCTGTACACGTGACGTTGCATTTACATCTATCAAGCTCACCACTGAAAATCGATAAAAACAGGTAGTGTCAAAAAAATCTAAATTGCGAAAAAAAGATTAATCGTATTTTATGAATGCGTAAATCAATGTTTAATGCATATGGTGTCTTTTGGGATAATTGGCTTTACGTGATATCGACGTTGTTATGGCATACGAAACCGCCCGCAAAAGAAACCGTTTAAGTGATTCTTTAAACAATATGTCAATCAATTCATGTTTTATACAAAATAATTTAACGTGCATACGTGTTTTTGCCAAAGCCGTTGCATCAGAAGAACTACACGTATCCGGGAAACACATCCCAATGGCCAAAGCTGCGGCCTGTCCAAGTGCTCCCTGTGCAAAAATAAAGCAATAAGTTGTCTGTATATGTAGTTATTGCAAGATAAGGTCTTTGTTTGAAGAAAATGTCAATACAATCTCACTTATATTCCAACATAATAAGTATTATTATCTCATTATAATTACTTCTACTACTACTGCTATTATTATTATTATTATTATTATTATTATTATTATCATAATTATTATTATTATTATTATTATTTATTTTTATTATCATTATCATTATTTGCGAGGAAGCTATCCAGCAAGTTTAATGAATATCGGTGTTTGGTTCTCAGGTGCCGATTGGCGGAAATAATAATGTGTTTTGCGAAAATGCACCTTAAGTGTTCCTCTACCAGTAAAAATGGAAAGTCAGCGCATGACCCTAACAGTCTTTGTGTGGACAATTTACCTGATTTCCCAAGGGTATAGACGCCAAACAAAATTTGCCGGTAAAAGGGTGATTTGGCCCCGTTTTATTAACAGGGTTCTGGTACTCGACTGCCTGCACGTCAATGCATTCACCCCATTCACCGATCCAATGAATATGGAAGTCCATTATACCACTAGGGGGCTTCCCCATGGCATCAATCACTACAAACATTAATATCGTCATAAGTACAAGTATGTACATTTGAACATGCAATTGTAAAGAAAACGTTTTTAACCGGGGTTTATTCAATGCATTTTTATAACTCTTTAAGATTTTTTTCTTTTAATCGTAGGAATCCATGTTTGTATTCTTCTGATGAAACTAGTCTCAAACAAATCATCAGTTTCTGGATTTATGGCGCTTGGTTTTATGGCGCACCAACACAACTTTTGTCATATGTCGCTAAAACAGCCACATTGTTTTATGTTATACAAATAAAAGTGCACACAAATCCGTCGTGATATAAACAATTTATAATTTCTATCATCATTGCAAGTTGCAATGCATGCCCAGCGTCGTGAACAATGAAATGTAGACTGTGAATGCGCGAGTTATTTTAGAATACCTATTTATCTATTCTAGGAATAAAATATTGGTGGTTTCGGGCTTAATATTTATAAATTTTGCTTGTTTAGTAAAACGACTGAAATGAAAAGCAACAATTATTGATACCCTTGATATTTTACATCAAATATGCTTATATGCTGTATTATCCGTGTTAAGGGAAACTAGATCAAACCAAAGTAAATTAATCACAATTATTGACTTTAAATTACACAAAAAGTACTTTCGAATGTCTTTTGTTATCCACGGGGCTCGTTTATAGTAGACAAAGTGCCTAAAAGGGAGACAAAATTATTAAAATAAACTGAAAATAACGCTTCTCCTGTGAACATTACCTCCCCTTTCAGTGATAAACAGTGTCACTACATTTTCAACTCTAATGTTTACTTTGTAATGTTTACTTTGATATCGTTCATGGCGTTGCTATATATAAATAATGTTAGATATATATCTGAAGTATGCTGAGCAAATATGTAAAACATAAATCATAGATCCCTTTTCAACCATTTTTTTAGTCGGTTAACTTTAAACAGGGTTTAAATCGTTATCTGATCTATGTAATTCAAAACCCATACGAAGACAGGTCAGCGAGTGTACCACAGACTTATCGTGTTATCTTTTGTTACACTCAGCAATTCACTCCTGATAATTCGAACTTCTTTTATAACCGACTTTTATACTGATCGTTCTCAATCACGCAAAACCCTACTGACATTACAAATTTGTAGAGTTGAAGAACTAGATCTTTTATTTTTAGTAATACAACTATCCAAAATGAGTGTAAATGTAAATAGAGATTTTGACACAGTTAACTAGCGACCGTTTCTTTTCTATATTTTTTTTATATTTTTCTTTTACATGCAAAGAAAACTATATTAAAGCAGTCATAAAATACTTACTTCTCCATGCCCAAGGCTCCCGTCGTATCAATGCATCAATTAATAATTTTGTATGGTTTAAACATACACTGCTAACATCATAAGGGCTTACGTCATCAAAACCGGACGCCTGAATCTCTTCCGCACGTGCTAACACTTTTTCGTAACTGTTCGTCACTTGTAAATGTTCAATTGGTAGCGCGTTCTCCTCTAGAGAATATTTCCTCGACGCCTCACTAGTTCTTTGCGCGTGCTGAATCAATTTGAAATAATCAACAGTTTCGTCTGTTCTCTTAAGGCACGTACTTAAATGCACAATTAAATACAGTAAGAAAGCAATCCTGATTGCAAACATGGTGAAAAATGTTTGCCCAAATTTTAACCGGAATAAAATAAAAACTGTTTTATAACGACAGCATAAAATTTCTCCCAAGATTTAAATGTCCAAGCAAATACAATAATGTACTCTCGGTGACATTGGGTTTATATTTATAAAAAGTGTTATCAGATACTTCTAATACTACCATGTGATATACAAGATTAAACAATGACTCAGAGCTTTAAATTCAACCGACATGATTTCGAAATGAAAGGTCAAATTCAGGCACAATGAAAAACGTCTCTCCTTACTTAGTCAATAATGCAAGTTATAGGCTAGATATGTACATGTTAGTTATACCCATGATTATTATTAATAATTATAATAATATTTTATTATAATCATTATTATCATTATTATTTTTATTATTATTATTATTATCTTAAAGCCCATTAGTCTTTAAAAATACTTTTTATTTTCCAAAAGTGTTTATTTTTTATGTATTCTAGCAGTTTCCATTATGATACTAATTACCTGAGCCATCTTTTTCATCTGTTGGTTTTTTTGTTTTTGTTTGTTTTTTTGTTTTTGTTATTTGTTGTTGTTTTTTTTTGTTTTTTGGTTTTTTTTTTTGTTGTTTTATTTTTTGTTGTTTTTTTTTTGGGGGGGGGGGGGGAGTAGTAACAGTATTTTGTATGAGGTCAAAATATTATTTTGTTTAAGTGCTAATGATTTCAAATTTACCGTCATAATATGGTTACATGTTCTTTAACCATTATTTTATTTTAAATACACGCTTGTCCTTTCTTTCTAAAAAAGTAAATAACTATTCTTTTTTAGGGATAATTTAGGGATAATGGACCTTTAATATCGATCAGTGTTAAACCAAATATGTCATGAATAACGTTCCTTAAAACATATTTCAAAAGTCGAGATTATAAAACAGATACAAGAACGTATTTGAACTTAAGTTCAATAATCGTTTAAAATTAGAAGAAAAACATATTTTCATATTGTTTTCATTGTGTAGGTTTCTACGTCCGTGCTTTCAAAATCTCTTAGAATGGTGTAGTTCTTAGTAGACCTAATGCTTATGAAGTTCGGTTTATTTTGTGTTACGAGTCAACTTTACCATAAGCTAGTTTAGGCGGGCTGTGAATGGATGGAATAACATAAACCTCTGTACATATGCGACATATGCTTCCATAAGATAAGAAGAAGAGACAGACTTGACAAAACATTTGACTTGAACAGTGCCACCTGGTTGCTATGTTGTAATATTATTTTAATCTTAGAATCTTTTAAAATTTTGAATAGGGGAAGATCACGGAACAATGAAAACGAAAACATTACAGAAAAAAAGAAAAAGAAATCACAGGTCACAAATTAAACATTCAGTGAATATAAAAAAGTCTAAATACGATTACATTAAATTTTAAACTACATATTAAAATCAATGACTAAATTACTATGACCGTATTTTCAACGTTAACAATTACTAATGAATGGTTAAGAATGATTCATTTTCCGACTTTATCTAAATGAAATAAAGATATCATATCAACTTACACTAGATTTTCACTTAGCTTTTGTCGGCCTTTTTATTTTGCTTTATCTGGCTTGTGATATCTATATATGGGATATCAAGGGGTAAATGATGGTGTAAACACTAAATATTGAGGAAATAGATATCAATTCTGAGTGCACTGTTGTAGAATAATGCACGGTTTGAGTTCAAATGCGTTGTAATATAATCACGAAGGTCGATAGGCCTGAGTGATTAATAACAAAGCATTTGAACGAAAAACTTGCATTATTATACAATAATGCACGAAGAAGTAATATCTATTTCCATTCTAACACGTCAAGAAAAAATATAGTTGGACGTTATGTTTGGTGGTAAAATTTGTTTTCGCCTCAGAGTTTCCAATAGAAACGTTCTTTAAAAGGCTGCTCCATTGGGTTTTAAAAACTGTCGTGTAGAAACATTTTCAGAAGAAAATGTTGATAAAACTTTGTTTGTTTATTTTATTTCACTCTATAATTTTTCAAGCGAAATACAAATAATTAAAAGTGGAATAAATGTAAAACTTAACTCGTTTTGGACATTAAAATAGCGTACTTGATTTTATTGTTTTGCACGTGCTGTTTGGGGCTACATTGTGACGTCACGCAAACAACACTTTAAACGTCTGTACAGCGTTAACGACTGAATTACAGGTATTGGTGTTCGAATCATTTTCTTAGTTAGACCATTTTCTTACATTCTACATAGTTTTCACAACAAAATTCGACAATAAAAGTTTTTATTTATCAGATTTTTTTCAAACAACATAGCAATGTGAAAATACACAGGGAGATAATAAGAACGGCGAGTGCATTGTTGTAGAATAATGCACGCTACGGGCCTTCTTTGTTTATATAGAAAAAATTCCGATAGTGTTAGAATAATAAAGAGTGCGCTGTATATTCAATATAACGTTGGTTGATTAGTAATAATCGGATGTCAATTGATATAATGACGTCAACACAATAACATAGTAAAAGGGACGTCACGTTAAGTTGACGCTAATAATGGCGCAGTAACAAAGTACATGCATGTGTACTTAAGAGATGGTGATGATAACGGTAATTTTGGTTGAAAATTTAACAGGTAACACCCATTTTTTTCCTAACTAGTTGCAGCATCTTACCATCCCAAAACTGAACGGATTTAACTCATTTCATTGGAGCGGATCGGTGTTAAAAGATGAATTAGACGTTTTAAAATGCATTTCGGAAGACAGGTGTAAAGGCAAAATTTTAGCATTTAATCAGTCAAGCGCCTTGTCTGGTACAGGTGGAAAAGTTTGCTACAATTTCTAAGGTTACATCGAGGGAAGAAACCCACTGATGATTGACTGCAGTTCTGTATGAAAGCCCGTTTTTTGTCACATTCGGCTGAATTACTTATGTACAAAACAAGTACAAGAATGTCCAAGTTGATATCAATAATCATTACTTCCATAAGGTATTTATGTGAAAATATGAGAATAATCAACAACAACAAAAATTGTGTAGTATCACTAAAGTCCGTGGTAGTACCTTAGACATTTTGATATAAATGGAAAAAATGAAGTTCCCGTTACCATTTATGTGAGTCATTTTAATTCCCACGCTTCCATTTTCTAGTGTAAGTCAAATGAAAATATATCCTGTAAGATAAAACAATTTAAATCTCTACTTAATCAGATGTCATTATTATGATCAAATAATTATGTAAATATTTATTTTGAAAGTTATCCTGCTTCATTCAGTTCTGATATACTTCCATTTGTACAAAAACATGTAGGATTAAGGCATTTTAAATTTTGTTCTTTGGGTTTCGTTTATATAATCAAAGCACAGAAGGCGCTGAATTTGTTTGGGTCTCAGAATGTAAGAATGGTACAGGTTCTGAGATTATATGTATAGTGCCACCAATGCTTTCCAGCGTTTTAATTGTAGTACATTGGCTATAAGACTAATTGCAACACTGATATTCAATTCAATGTTTATTTTACTTAAACAATTTGAAAAAAATGAGTTGCTTTACTGGGATTTGAACTCCAGACCTCTCGCTTCCTAAGCGACGCGAAAACCCTTCAGCCACGGTGAATTTATATTTGAACGGCCTGAAGAAAACCATATTATTCTAAATTAGGGCTTGTAACGACTTTAACTGTTTTTAACACAGATGTAAATAATCCTGGAGCTTACTATAAGGATGTATATTTATAAAGAATCAAAGGGCTGCAAGTTCTGTGGTATTTTCTGATATTTGCAATCTAAATCGTACTGTATATCTGTATGTATTTTCCTGTATAAGTTTATTTTTATGTATTATAATTCATTTTGCAAGGCACTATAGTTTGATACATACGGAATTCTGCATAACTAGAGTTGCATCAAAATATCATTTATGTTCATTTTTACGACAGCTACACTTTATCCTTGCATATCATGGCTACTTCCTTAACAAAGACACTTAAAAAAGAATTTAAAAAAAAAAAAAAGTTTCCTAGACTGGGATTTGAACTCCAGACCTCTCGCACACTAAGCGAGCGCGTTACCCCTGCACCACGGAGAAGTTATACAATCAATGTCTGAATAGCATCAAGTCATTCTAAATTTAGAACTTCCATTGCATTTCGGGTTTGTAATCCTTATTAATTTCGAGGTATTTTGTTCAGGATAAACCTGTTGTTTAGAATTGAAGTAAATAATTTAGCGAAAATCTTCTCGCCCAAACAGTCCGACATGTAGAATCTATATATTCCACTACTCGGTTTATGTAGTATTCGGTAATCGACATCGCTATAAATAGTATTTTCATTGATAAAATCATATTCATCCGCGTAAATTGTGATTGTGCATTTGTTGACAATTCTATAAGCCAACGCTATTTTTAAACTTTGAATGCGTTGTAATTTGTTGGATACTTGTAACAAAATAAAAATATTTCTTTCTTTTAAATCGCTAGTTTTAAGCTGTTTTGAGAACTACTTGTTGTTAGGTTTGTCGTAACTTCTGTGTCAGAAATTGAATGTCCGCTTTGTATTTACTTATTTTCGATCAGAAAATACAATTAAACAATATTAGAAATCTTCGACCATTCGGGAATTATTTTGCTTGAAAATTAATGTGCCTGTCTTTGACCAACTTTACGCAGTGATCTCCCCTGAATTTTTCGGCGTTAGTGTACATATAAAGGGAAGTAACCGCTTCAAAAAAGTGGACTACTTTCGGCATTTGCAATTAACAGCATTAGACTCTGAAATTTCGCTACCATTATTTGTTTGGTCTGACGACCCAAACAAATAAAAACGATATTTTTTAATCGGACTCCACTGAGGTTTAAACATTTGGATTTCTTTGATGGATGACCTTGGGCACTTTAAACAGAAATATATGCAAAGATAGTTAAGAAATATATTTTGAAATAAATTGAAAATCGTATTTAAATGCTTTTCTAAGCTCGATTTGAGTGAACAGCGTTTGAACGCTTTTCATTTTTGGTCATTCTTTTTTAAATTTGAATAATTATTCTGGAAAAACAAATTGCGCGAATGATCTTAAGTTTTGCAAAAAGATAAGTAGTCTAAACCTATATCAAACGGTACATTATCTGGGAAAAAAATTTCAGTCCCATTATTTCA